CTTGGTAACCTCGAACCTCCCTTCTGTCTCTGAATCTGCCTGTTCTAGATATTTCATATAAGTGGAATCATACAATATTTGTCCTCTTGTGTCTGGCTTTTTTCACTTAGCATAATGTTTTCAAGTTTAATTCCTGTTGTACCATTTATCAGCACTGCGTTCCTTCTTTTTTCAACTGAACACTATTCCGCTGTATGTATATACCACATTTTGTTTATCCATTCACCTGTTGATGGACACTTACGTTGTTTCCAGTTTTGGTTGTTGTGAATACTGTTTAACTGATTTTTTTCTGTATTAATTTTAGAGAGAAAGGAAGGGAGAATGAGAGAGAAACAGAAAATCCATGAGAGAGAACATCAACCGGCCGCCTCCTGCATGCCCCGCACTGGGGATCAGGCCCACAACCTGGGCATGTGCCCTGACTGGGAATTGAACTGGTGACCTCTTGGTGCATGGGTCGATGCTCAGCCACCACTGAGCCACACCGGACGGGCAATATATTGTTTAACTTTTTGAGTAGCTGTTTTCCACAGGGGCTGCACCATTTTATAGTCCCACCAGCCATGTATGAGGCTTCCAATTTCTCTATAGCCTGACTCAAAATAATTTTCCTTTAAAAAATCATAGCCATCCTAATAGGTATGAAGTGGTTTTGATTTGCATTTCCCTGATGGCTAATGGTGTTGGATATATTTTCATGTTGGCCATTTGTATATCTTCTTTGGAGAAATGTCTATTCAAATTCTTCGCTCATTTTTTGCCCTGGCCGGTTTGGCTCAGCGGTTGGAGCGTTGACCTGCGGTACAGAGACCCAGGCTCGGTTCCCGCTAAGGGCATGTACCTCGTTTGCAGTTTGTCCCCGGCCCTGGTTGGTTGTGCGGGTGGCAGCCACTCGATGTGTCCCTTTCACGTCGATGTTTCTCTCTCTCTCTCTCTCTCTCTCTCTCTCTCTCTCCCCCTCTCTCTCCCTCCCACTCTATCTGAACAAAAAATGAAAAAATGTCCTCGAGTGAGGATAAAAACAAAAACAAAAAAACCCAAATTCTTTGCTCATTTTTAACTTGAGTTGTTGGAGTTCTTTATATATTCCGGATAGTGAACCCTTACCAGACATAAGATTGCAAATATTTCCTCCCATTCTGTGGACTGTATTTTCACTCTCTTGTTAGTGTCCTTTCATGCACAGAAGTTTTTCATTGTAAGGAAGACTAATTTATCTATTTTCCCTTTGTTGCTTGTACTTCTGATGTCATATTTAAGAAACCATTACCGCCCTGGCCAGTTTGGCTCAGCAGTTAGAGCATTGGCCTGTGGTCCAGAGAGACCCGGGTTCGGTTCCCGCTAAGGGCGCGTACCTCGGTTGCCGTTTGTCCCCGGCCCTGGTTGGTTGTGTGGGTGGCAGCCACTTGATGTGTCCCTTTCACGTCGATGTTTCTCTCTCTCTCTCTTCCTCTCTCCCTCCCACTCTATCTGAACAAAAAACGGGAAAATGTCCTTGGGTGAGGATAAAAAAAAGAAAAGAAAAAGAAACCATTACCAAATCCAAGGTCATGGAGATATGCACTTGTTACAGTTTTCTTCTAATAGTTTCAAAGTTCAGCTCTTAAATTAGGTCTTTGATCATTTGGAGTTAACTTTTGTATATGGTGTGAGGTAAGGGTCCAACTTCAAACCTCTGCATGTGATGTCCAGGTTTTGCCTACCATGATAATACCTACCTCAGAGGGTTGTTACAAGGAGTAACAGACATACTGACTAGCAGAGGGCCTGCCTCAGAGTGAGAAATACATTTTATTATTCATATTATTTAATTTATTGATATTCTTCTTTATAGCTTTTGTACTCCACCATCGTTAACTACCAGCTGGGTTTTTTGAGGGGAGGTTCACACTGACCCTAGCCTTGAGATGTTGGGGTGATGTTGCCCCCTGGTGGACATATTCTGAACTGCATCAAATAAAGTGGAACCGATTAGAGTCAAAATTCAGCTCCATTTCTTTCTTCTTACCTGTAAATATTTCAGCGTGTACTTTATAAGAACAGCGATCTACTCTTACGTAACAGTACAATAATCAACATCAGGAAATTTAACATCGATGCAATACTGTCATCCCACCCACACAGTGTATATTCACATTTTGCCTGTTGACCCTAAGGTGTCCTTTATAGCTAATCATTTCCCAGTCCTGGACCCCTCCAGGGTCACATGTGACATTTGATTGCCAGGTCCCTTTAACCTTGAGCCATTTCTCAGCTTTTCTTTATCTTTCACGACCCTGACATTTTTGGAGGTCAGACCAGTTATTTTGCAAAATGCCCCTCACCATGATGTCTGTTGTTTCCTCTGGTCTAGACCGACGTTACGTTTCGACAGGAACAGTACAGGCCGTGTCCTTCTCATGCAATGTTGTTTTGTCCCGATACTGATGATGTTAACTCTGAGCCCCCCGCCCCCCGCCCCCCGCCCCCCGGGAGCATGTGGAAGCTGAGCTCCGAGGGCCAGAGAGGTGCGGAGACTTGCCCGCAGTCACACAGCAAGTCAGGGTCCTTAGCTCAGGGAAACCTCAGCAAGACACAATCTGCCCTGGGCCTCCTCAGGCCCTGAACTCTGATGGGGGCCCAAGGGCTGGTGTCACTACCTTCATGACATCATCTCTCAGTAGTCTAGCTGCCTGGAGCCCCCTCCTTTCTGACTCACCCATTCCTAGTTATTTTTACTAGAACATTTTTGTTTTACAGATGAATACATTATTATTATTATTATTATTATTTTAATGTTTCAGCCAAAGCTTAAGTCCCTGGGAAAACCCTTCATCCCTGTCCTCTCCCACTCCTGTCACCAGTTTGGTGTGAGAAATATATATCTATACTCCCAGAAAAAATACATACTATGGAGCATGCTCTTTCCACAAATGGTCACACTTTAATAGGTCAGCCTGGTAGAAATGTCCCGGGCAGGACTAAGTGTTTTCAACTGCATTGTCATGTTTCATTCAGCATGTGATGAGGCTCTTTAGCTGATCCCCCACGGATGGGCATTAAGGTTGTTCCCAGTGCGTTGCTACGATGAGACACACACTGCCCAGGGCTCCTCTGGGGACAATGCCCACCTCCAGAGCCGGGACTGCTCCTTGGGTACCGGATTCCCAGAGGGGACCCTTCACTGGATGGGGTGAGGAGGGTCAGATGTGTTTGTTCACTCAACCTATTAGATTTGCAGGACTCTTGGGACCTCTGAGAGCAGTCAGACTGGCCTTTCACAATGTGTTTCAAGGAATCTTAGGGTTCCAGATAGAATGGGGGACAGGTAGGAAGGGGTGGAGCTGATGAGAATCCAGACCCTCACCCCCACTCCAACTAGAACACCTGCCTTTAGCGTATTTCCAATTACGTTTATTTTATTTTTTAAATTTATTCTTTATTGATTTTAGAGAGAGAGGGAGAGGGAGAGGGAGAGAGAGATGGAAATATCAGTGAGAGAGAACACTGACTGGCCGCCTCCTACGTGCCCCCCACTGGGGATTGGGCCCACAACCTGGCACGTGCCTTGACCAGGAGTTGAACCAGTGACCTCTTGGTGCATGGGTCGATGCTCAACCACTGAGCCACACCAGCCGGGCAAGTTTATCTTTTAAAAACAATCTTTGCTGATTTAAAAGTCAAAAATGTCTGCTGTGGCCCAACCCCTTACCTGGCACAAGTATCCCCTCTGGATCACACCTTCTGGGTCTGTTTCCATTGGAGCATCCTCCGGCCATGTTCTTGCTGGGGATGCCACGTGACCCAAGCCCAGCTCCCAGGTGACAAACCCCAAAGCAGTCTCTGCAAGTGTGGCCCCCATGCCACTGGGGCAGGCGTTTTGGTGTGTGCCCAGCTGGGTCCCAGCATGCCCTGCAGCAGCAGTCTACGTCTGTGACCTTCTCTGGCTCACACCAGCAATGCACAGTGCTGGGTCCCAGTCCATAGGTTCCGACTGGGTGGATCTAGGGGAGCCAAGAATGTTCATTTTTAAAGACTTGTAGGGGATTCTGAGGGAATAGGTCCAGACACTGGCATTGCAGACAGCTGGCCAGGGCCCCTCCCCAGCAAACCTCAATCAGGCTGGGAGGGCTAGAAAGTCATTTGCTTTATCCAAGGTTTTTTCCCTTGGACAGAGCGCCTGAGAGTTCATTAGGGCCTGCAGGGAACCACTGACCCAAGCCAGGGTTCCCAAGGCGGAGTGCCCCAGTCTGCCGGAGAGCTTGTTAAAGTGCAGGTCTGGGCCCCACCCCACATCCGCCGGAGAGGAATCTCTGGAAGTGGGTGGTGGGAATCTGGTATTACGCAAATTCTCCAGGGAGAGCCACGAAGTCCAATCCCCTCCAAACCCCTGTAAGATGAGGGAAACTGAGGATCGAAAGGTAAAAGTGACCTGTCCCCAGTCACAGCCACGTTCGTGGAACTGGTTCTAGATGCAGCCTCACCCCCAGGGCAAAGCTCAATCCCATCCCACCACTTGTCAGCCATCTCGCAGGTCTGAAGGCTCCCTGTCACCTGGTCACCTGAGACACCCCACCTGGCTGGCTGCCCTGACAGGCTTCTGTTATCTGGAAAGGCTTCAGGTTACAACCAGTGGAAATGACCTTTGCTTTGACCGAGTCACTGTGTGTGTGTGTGTGTGTGTGTGTGTGTGTGTGTGTGTGTTGGGGGAGGCAGAGTAGCTGTCCATGCAAACATCTGTGTCTCCACCGTCCTCTCTGCGGGCCTTGTAAAAAGGTCAGACAGACAGACACAACCAACAAGTGCAAACGGAACCCCACTTTATTAGCAGTTAGTTCGAGATTGTACATTAATGGAGGAAGGTTCCCGCTTTTAACACAACCCAAAACGGCTGGTTTGAGAGCTCTGATCAGGTGAGCTGGTTACGGCACCCCCTCTCCACACCTCTCCCCACCCCCACTAGGAAGGAAACCACGGCCTGCTCCCCCAGTGTGCCCCCCACCCTCTCATCAGCCCTCTCCTCTCCCCAGGAAATGACATGAATTTCATGCACAAATTACAAAAGGAGCCTTCTTGCTGATAATAAAAGCTAGCGGTCATAGAAAACCCTCTCCTCCCTCACTCCCAAGGGCCGCAGAGAGGAAGAAGAGAGGGATGAACTTACTAGGATAAAACACAGCCAGAGTCTCCCCCAAGCCCTTGACAGTGACCCCACACAAAACCCATGCCCACCCCTCGAGGGAGCTGAAAATACCTGCAGTAGCTAAGCAGTCAGCCCAGGGACGGCTAACCCAGCACCCAGGGCGGGCGTGGGGGGCGGCCCCATCCTCTCTTTAGCTAGAGCAGACCCACTTCTCGTCCTGACGTGAACCCCTGCTGTGTCTCCACCTGCTCGTTCTGTAAATGGAGACATCGAGGCCTAGGAGGGAAACTGTGGCGCACTCACTGCACGTACCCAGTTGGGACATTTCCCATCTCCAGCCTCCACCCAAGCGCTCCTCACACCGCGACACGGAGGAGGTGGTTTCCTAGCTAGACTTCCCCGGGTACATCCCAGGGCCTGGCTCTACTCCAGTGCACACAGACCATGGGCCTCCAGGGAGGGAAGGCCCAGAGACCACAACAGAGAAAGAGAGAGAGGGACAGGGAGACAGACACTGTTCGGTGCCCCATGGTCCATCACCAGGATCAAGGGGGCAGTACAGGCTCTTCTGAGCCAGACACCTCTCACTTCCAAGAGGCCCAGCGCGGCTTGGTGGGGCCCCTGTGCACGCAGCCGCCTCCCCCTAGAGGGCCCCCAGGCCTTCCTCCCAGGCCCAGCCTCGAGGCCACCTCCCCGCCTCCCTGAGCCCCTGGAGCGCCCGCAGCCCCTGCTGGTGTGGGGCGTGGTACAGCTGAGGGAACAGAGGCACCTGAGGCTGGAGGGAAGTTGTCAAGTCAGCACAAAGGCAAAACCCACATACCCTGCAGTGTTCTCGACAACACGGGCTAGAGGCGCTTGTGGGAGGAAACCTTCAGGCAGATGCTGGGAGCCGGGGCCCTCCAAGGACGGCAGGCCTGCTGGCCTCAGAAAGGGTGTCGCTTCAAAAATCAAAGTGAGCAGGAGGAGGACTGTTCAATGTTCAACGAGGTTTAAAAACACAGTTATAAAATGCAATGTGCGCCCCTTGGTTGGAGCCAAATTCCCGAACCAGGGCACGTTTCTGGGGCGGGGAAGCGGCTGGAGAGCAGAGTGAGCAACGCCGGGTGACTCTGGGCCGCTGCACAGGAGGCCGCGGCTGCTCAGGTACAGCCGGCAGCACTCTGGGGTGACGTCTCGTGATGCTGACTTTTACGTAGTTCAGAAAACGTTCCATGTAGAGAGACAAAAATGTGCCGAAACGTTCATTTCAAACCTGGACGGCGGGTTAACAAACCCGTGGGGTGAGCTCCGTGCTCTGCGCGTCAGCCCGCAGTCAGCCGCCGCCCGCCGCCCGCCGCCCCTCGCCTGGGCCCGGGCACTGGCTGCTCCCACTCGGGCTGGGAGAGGGCCCATCCTCCAACCTCAGGCTCCTCCACCCATCACAAGGCGCCTGCCCTGTGGGTGGCTCGAGGATCACGAGTGACAGGCATTAGCTGGCCACCCACCAGCGCCCACCTGGTGGGGAGGGCTCGTGGTGGGGTCGGCAGAATGGATGGTGAAGCCAACTACACGGTTTCAGCTATTTCTCTCTCTCTCTCTCTCTCTTTTTGGCCAAACGCTTACAGCGAATAAGTGAGCATTAAGTAAGTTGGTGCTGCTGTGCCCACTGACCTCCGGCTCTCTGCCCGTGATGGGGACCTGGGAGCTCACTAGCCGAGGGCCCTGGGGGACCTGTCTCTCTGGCTCTGGGGTACCTGCAGGTCCTGGCAGTGGGCCCTTGAGAAGTCACCAGTGGGAAAGGAAGTAACAGCAGTGACCAGACTCACACCAAGTGGCAGGTCGAGTCCCCGCCTCCTAGAAGGGCCGCCCCCAGGGTCTCCTCCGCTCCCACAGGGCCCCCCAAGGCCTGCTGCCTCCTCGGCCGGCCCAGCGGGCCCTCAGAGCTCGAGGGACGGGAGCCGGTGCCGGCCCAGAGGGTAGACGTCAGGAAGTGGGCACCGTGAGGTCCTCGCGGGTCGTGGAGCCCGAGCCCCTCGCTGACAGATGGAAAGTGAGGCCTGGGACTTGGCACTAGGGAAGTCGCCGCCCAGCAGGGAGCCTGGCTCCAGGGCACGGCCACGTCTCCGTGCGTACATGCGGGCATGCCGCCCTGACCCGAGACGCCCCGCTCCTCACCCTTGGGCTGGCAAGGCCGAGAAGCTAGATGGGGACGCTTCTCTGGGTAGACCAGGAAGACACGCAGCTGGTCCCGCTCAGTGCCCAGCCTTCTCCATCCCGTGGGGAACTTGGGGAAAGGGAACTGGTTCAGCGCTAAGACAGACCCGGCCCCAGTCGGCGAAGGTCTTTCGAGGTGAGGAGAGCGAGACAGGTGTGAATGGACAGAAGGCTCGAAGGCACCCTGGCTGGAGGGAGTGGTCTGTCCCCGTGTCCTGGAGTGACCACGGGCGACTGAGGGCTCAGAGGCAGTGTGGCGTGGAGGGAGAGCTCTGGACCCCGCAGGAGCTGCAGACGAGTTCTCAGCCGTTCCCAGCAGCTATGCCGTGACCAGGGGCCGCCTCCTGTTGTTCCCACACCCAGAGGGCCCTTCCAACCTCAACGCAGAGGCTTCTGAACAAGACAAGCTCCCAGAAAGGACTTCTTGGGTGTCAGTTCGAAGCTGAACTGGCAGTGGGAGGGGTGGGGAGAGCACCCCAGTTCAGTCACTTCACATTGTTAAAGGAGGGTAGGAGCCGACCTGGAGACAGCTCTGTGGGTCCCCGTGGGCCTCCCAGCTCCCAGGACAGCTCCCCACCTAGCACCATGTGAGGGAGGGGGCAGGCCAGCCTTCGGCCCAGGATGCCCACCCCAGCCCAGCTGTTTCCTTTGGCCACGATCCCCCAGGTCACTGCACTTCACGAGGCCCGATTCCTGGAGGGAGCAGGTCCTCCCCGTGTGGCTCAGCACCTCGCTCACCGGAGCAGCCCACAGCCACGGCACTGACAGGGGACAGCTCTCCAGGGCAGCCCACAGCCACGGCACTGACAGGGGACAGCTCTCCAGGGCAGCCCACAGCCACGGCACTCACAAGGGACAGCTCTCCAGGACAGCCCACAGCCACGGCACTGACAGGGGGGACAGCTCTCCAGGGCAGCCCACAGCCACGGCACTCACAGGGGACAGCTCTCCAGGGCAGCCCACAGCCACGGCACCGACAGGGGACAGCTCTCCAGGACAGCCCACAGCCACGGCACCGACAGGGGACAGCTCTCCAGGGCAGCCCACAGCCACGGCACCGACAGGGGACAGCTCTCCAGGACAGCCCACAGCCACGGCACCGACAGGGGACAGCTCTCCAGGGCAGCCCACAGCCACGGCACCGACAGGGGACAGCTCTCCAGGGCAGCCCACAGCCACGGCACCGACAGGGGACAGCTCTCCAGGGCAGCCCACAGCCACGGCACTGACAGGGGACAGCTCTCCAGGGCAGCCCACAGCCACGGCACTCACAAGGGACAGCTCTCCAGGACAGCCCACAGCCACGGCACTGACAGGGGGGACAGCTCTCCAGGGCAGCCCACAGCCACGGCACCGACAGAGGACAGCTCTCCAGGGCAGCCCACAGCCACGGCACCGACAGAGGACAGCTCTCCAGGGCAGCCCACAGCCACGGCACCGACAGGGGACAGCTCTCCAGGACAGCCCACAGCCACGGCCTTGACAGGGGGGACAGCTCTCCAGGGCAGCCCACAGCCACGGCACTGACAGGGGGGACAGCTCTCCAGGGCACCTCCACGCCATCTCCCCGAGGCCCGGCCACAGGAAGACATGCCCACCCTCCCTTCCATGTCATGTTCGTGCTCGGACATAGAACAGCCTTTGGGACTGGGGCTTGCCACCACTTTGTATGACTGAATTAAAAACAAACCCAACCAAAAAAATATAATATATATATACAAATTATATATATATATGTATATATATAACACAGTGCGACCCCAGCACCCAAAGTATAAACTCTGGCACCAAGAAAAAAACAAAATATTAAAATACTTTAGCTTCTTAGTATTGAGGAGGTTAGGGGGGCCTCTAGGAACCCTCGGCCACAGGTTGCTGGGGCGAAGCCGTGGGTGGCTGTCTCCCCAGATCGGCCAGCGCTGGCCGGGGCCACGGCGGGCGGGCGGGCGTGGGGACGACGTGTGTGCACTGGGCATGTGCACTGCAGACTCCTGACCGCCTCTCTTACCACAGGGAACACCACACGTGTCACGTCCCAGGCGGCCGGCCGGGGGGAGGCCTGGGCCTCGGGTCCAATGGCGTGGCAGTGCCCAGGGCCTGCAGGAGGCCTTGAGGACGGGCGGACACTGTGGGAATCAGCGATTCTTCCCCCGAAAAGGGAGGTGAGATGTGGAGTATGAACCAGCATGTGTGGCAGGTCACATCCGCCTCGCGACCGACTCTGGGTACCCAGCTGACCCCTTGGAAGGGCCTGGCTCGAAACGGTCAGGGAAACGTCCAGTCTCTCTCCCTGGTTTGGCAAAGGGCCCAGCTGGGCTCTTCTCCCTTACTGTCTTGGAGGACAGGGAAAGATGGCAGCGAACGCGAGGGGATCCCGCTGGGGCAGGGCGAGACGGGACGAAGGAGAGGGCGCGGCCGGTAGAACAGTGAGGGACAGAACGAGTCTCATGAACCCCCTCCTACCAGGAAGCGGCCTCCCATGAAAGGTGTGAACAGGATGCACCTCTGGTGCTAGGAGGTCCTAGAGGCCACAGCCCCCGCGCTGGATGCTCCGAGGTGCTGTGGACCTGCCCGGGCCTCAGCAGAGTATTGCTCGGAAGGGCTTGGCCAGCCCGGGCCCAGCTCCCATCCTGCAGGTCAGTCTGGCTCAGCGTGCGGCGGGCGTCCCTGCCGTCACAAACGTGCAGTCTGGCTGTGGCGGCCACAGCTACCTGGTGTTCTGGAGGTCCTCCCGCAGCCAGGTGGGCAACGTCTGGCCCATCTTGTACAGCAGCTTGGAGAGCTCGATGTTGTGGTCCCGGTAATAGTCCTTCAGGAAGGCGCGGGACTGTAACAGGAAGGGAAGCTCAGGTCTGGGGGATGTGCGGACTCACGAGCGACCCCTCCTCTTTCAAACCACCTTTCTGCTGGCACATTCCCACAGCCTATCATTCATTCATTCAGTCTTCCCCAAAGTGGTGGCCTCCAAAAGAAAACCCCTACATCGCAGGAGTACCAAAATATAGCATACAAGGTCAAAATTCTCGTGACAGAGAAAAAAGAGAGCATGCATCAAAACCGGGGCGAACAGGAAAAGGCAAACGTACCGAGTCACAGTGTGTGACCTTCCCCTGTGCCCTCTGTACCCGCCCATCTCCCACAGGAACGCCTCGGCCTCCCCGCCACAGGTCCAGGCGTGCCCCACCCTTCCGGGCCCAACTGCAGAGCCCCCCAGGAAAGCTTCGACCCCTCCTGTTCGGAATTCCCAGCACCTGTGCGGACCTCTCCTCCTGCACGGGGCACTTCCTGCCTCTGCCACCCACTGGAGTGTGACGCATTCCCCTCGACTAGGAGTTCCTTGGAGGGAAAGAACCTGTCTGATTCATCCTCAAGGCCCCGGACCATTCAGCCCTCAGTAGAAGGTAACAAATACACCTTTGACTAAAAATCAACCCTGACCCACAACCCAACCCACATTTCCTCCTCTCAAGAACACTGTCCAGAAAAAAAAGAAAAAAAGAACACTGTCCAAAAAGTGTCGAGGCACCCTGGCTGGTGTTGCTAAGTGGTTAGAGCATCAGCTCTTGCACTGAAGGGTCACAGGCTCGATTCCCGGTCAAGGGCATATACCTGGGTTGCAGGTTCAATCCCCTGCCCTGGTCAGGGCATGTGCAGGAGGTAGCCAATGATGTGTCTCTCTCACATCTATATTTCTCTCTGTCTCTCTCTCTCTCTCCCCCTCCTTCCAATCTCTCTAAAAATCAATGGGAAAAACATCCTCCGGTGAGGATTAACAAGAAAGTGCTGAGGCCATTCACGTGTTCGGCATAGGGTAGAGGAGAGAGAAGGCTCCCTCCCGCCCACTATCCAGCTGCTGCGGGCAGTGTGTCCACACTTACATCCAAGTCCATCTCTGGGTATTTCCGGCCCTTGCTTTTGCCCAAACACTTGGTTTTTCCTCCTTCGAGCAGTTGGCACCAAAATCCTTTCTTTGGATCAAACCTGTGGAGGTGGGGAAAGCCTGTGGGTGGGAGCTGGCCTGGCCCACCTCCTTCCACTGGAAGGCAAGGCCCAGGCCCCAGGAGTGGCAGAGCCCAGGAGCCGGTGGAAGCCACCCCCTGTGCGCATTCTGTTGCCAGCAGACGCCGGCTCACGTGCTCTGAGCTCCTCTCCTGGCAGCCCCGTCCCCAAAGCAATGCACAACCTAGGCTCTCCTGCCTTCACGACTCCCGGAGCCTCTCCTGGCTGGCAGCCCCGTCCCCGAAGCAATGCACAACCTAGGCTCTCCAGCCTTCACGACTCCTGGAGCCTCTCCTGGCTGGCAGCCCCGTCCCCGAAGCAATGCACAACCTAGGCTCTCCAGCCTTCACGACTCCCGGAGCCTCTCCTGAGCACTCTCCAGCCCAGGGGTGAGCAATGCTTTCCACCTGAGAATCGGGGGGGGGGTGGGGGTGGTGGTTAGGGAGAGACTTCTGTTTTTTATTTATTTATTTATTTTTTTGGTGGTACATGCCCCTAGTGAGAACCAAACCCGGGACTCTCTGGTCCACAGGCTGATGCTCAACTGCTGAACCAAACTGGCCAGGGCTGTTTCTTTTTAATAAATTGTATTTTTATGAAAAAATGCAATATCTGCAGTTGTATTTAAGCGAGTCCATAACTGGAAAGTTGTTTTTTTGGAGTACACTTCAGAAATGACAGCACAAGGCTGCCTTTGGGACCTGGTCACGCTGGGCCTTCGAGGGCATTTCTGGGAGATGCGCCCTGAAGCTGTCGTGGGGGGGCACTGGCACCAGAGTTCAGCCCCAGGTCAGGAACCGCCCGCAGACTCGTGAGCGTGAGAACGCAGGGAAACAACTCACATTTGGCAGGTGGAGGAAACAGGGATTTCTGAAAGGCCATGGGGTGGGCACAGACAGGGTGGTGACGACGAGGGCGGCGGCCACATTTATCCAGCATCACTACACGCCAGGCAGCGAGCTGAGCTCTGCGTGCGAGCTTCATCCACACAGTGGCCCTCGGAAGGCATGAGTTATCACCTTTATCCCCAACTTTCAGATGAGGGAAGTGAGGCTTGAAGGAGCTACGACATTTTTTCAAGGTCACACAGCTAAAGAAGTCATGGATCTCGGGTCCCAACCCAGGCATCGCTGGTGTCGCAGCCCACACCCTTGGCTGCTGCCGCTTTCTGCATCCAAGTGAAGGGCTGGCTTCCCTTCCCCACCTTCGACTTCCAAGACAGGGAGCAGGGGGCATTCTTGCTGCGAGACTTCCTAAGAAGATGGCTGGGTAGGGTGGATTGGTTCCTCCTTTTCTTGAGCCCCTCCCAGGCTGAGGACGTCACTTGCGTGACAGCCTGGGAGACAGCATCTGGGGGGCACCATCAGTGCACTTGCACTGGGTTCTGAATACTGAGATGATCAGCCATCGACAGTATTTGTAGTTTCCTTTTCCTGAAATTATGTTTAAGTCATAATCTAATACATTCGTCCCTCGTGTATCGCGGTTAATCCGTTCCAGACTCCAGCGGTTGCACCTGGCGTTGAAGGATCCCCAGGCTGCTCGAACACATAGGCCTACAGTCCATACGTACAGTAATTTTAATTTTAATTGTAAATCAGGGGTGTATAATTGACTCAGACAACCGAGTGCATGCTGTATCATTTTCACTGTCTCGATCAACTTTTTAATGAATATATTTGAAAAAACCGCGACAGAGTGAAGCCGCGAACGTGGAGGCACGAGGTGGCGAGGGACGACTGTACTAAGAAACCCTTGTGGGAACTGGGGCTGCTCACTGCTGGTCTAACTTATTTAGATAAAACACTCTGGAAATGTTCAGCCCAAACTAAAAAGAACACCCCAGAAGTGAGGCCAACCATAGTACAACACAGATTAGTCACCTCCCTTTTTCTTGCGTCAATATCTTTATAAATATGACTCAAGTCATATTCATATTAGCTTTGCTGCCAAACTGCCATCAAGGACACACATACTTTCTCACACTGGGTGGTGCCAACTGACCCGTGTCTCTCCCGTAATCACTCAACCCTCTGCTTTTTGGCGCGGGTGCCTGCTCAGGAAATCCCCCCACTTGAAGGCCAAGGCAACACTCACGCCAAGGTTTTGTGGTAGTCCATGGTGTTGGTCACCCCGAGGAACTTCTGCACTGTGTCCATCACTTTGGCAGGTTCTGTTCGCAGCAGTTTGCCATCCAAGACCAGAATCTGGGAAAACAGAAAAGGGAGAAGTGTGATCTGAACCTCTTTTTTTAAATCCTCACCCAAGAATATTTTTCTATTGCTTTCTAGACAGAGTGAGGGGAGAGAGGAAGAGACAGAGAAGTATCGATGTGAGAGACACACACCTATTGGTTGCCTGCCGCACAACTGCCCACCGGGGCCAGGGATCAAACCTGCAACCCAGGTACGTGCCCGAGACCCCTCAGTCCGCAGGCCGACACTCCTACCACTGAGCCAGACCGGCCAGGGCTGATCCGAACCTGTTTTCACTCCAGTGGCAGACAGGCCCCATTTTCTGGGTCAGCAGTCATGGTTACAAACTGGGGTCCCCGCACTCTGGAAAATGTTTCCTTCTCCATCTCTGAATGGCAGGTGTCCCCGAAGCTCAGTCCTCCACAGCCTAACTCCCTGGTCTCTGCAGCTTCCCTAGACTGATGCCATCATTCCCTAGACATTAACCCAC